CCCCCCCCCCCCCCCCCCCCCCCCCCATAAAAAACCCCAAAAAAACAACAACAAAACAACTAAGCAAACGAACAAAAGTAATATCATTAATAATAGAAGTTGCATCAGTTATTATTCATTTTGTGAATAAATAAAGACCAGTGCACAAGGGATGTTGTTTATAACCTCAGCGAAGTTGCAACATGTCATGCTTTGATGTAAGTAAGCTGTCTGGTTTTAACATCAGAGATGTGTCCCTCTTCTTCGTTTCTTCTTTTATTTTCCAATAATTGTGAGTTGTGTGAAAGTAGCTCAGGGGCCTGCCTACTTGAAGTGTGACCAGTAAATGAATTATTCAGTATTGTTAATTCTGTCAGAGGTTGTAAGTGGGTGGTTGGCGGGTGCTCTGGTGTGGTTTGCTTCTTCTTTCCTTTCAAACATCTATCGTCTTTATCTCCCCTCTTTCTTTTTTGTGTTTGTTGCTCTCTTGTAACACCTCTAATCTTCGGCACTTATATGACCTTATTGTGTTGCAAGTGCCGTAAAACTCTTACTAAACTTACTAAAACTAAGAGGTTGTAATGGATGAAGTTTGATTCTTCTAACGAGTTACAAAGATGTTCTCATATCTTTGCATGCACAACTTCTATTTTTTTAACTTGGAACCTATCCATATTTTCTTCTGTGGACAGATAATCACTCCCACCTTTGTTTTCTCTGTGTTTACAGTTAACTGTTATGGGACACTGCTGTTACCTCTCCTGTGCCCTGATACTATTAAAAAGTCTGTTAAAAGCAAAACAAATTGCTCAAATGTGCTCATATCATCTGAATTTAATTACTTACGTGTACGATTTAGATCTTGAGAAACATTCAAGACAAGTTTAGTTCTGTTCATTTTGAATTACAATGCTTTTTATTTGACTTGACTCTTTTCAGTTGGACTGCACTAAAATACCTTGACTTGTGTCTAATAATATATTCTGTTATGTATTTCTTTTCCTGTAAATAGCTAAAGAAGGAGAATGGACGCAGGTGCTTGAGCAGTTGACCACAGCCATGGACATGGGCATGAAGATCCACCCACACACAGTGACCAATTTCCTCACCCAGTTCTTCAGTCAGTTGCCATCTATCACAGTGGAACAGCTGTCAGAGTGGGCCAGGGGGCTGGAGGAAGTTCAGGACAATGGGGACGAATGATGCTTTTCTTCTTCTTTCTTCCTCATTCTTGAAGGTTAGACAGCCAATTCAGTGGTGGGCACAAAGTGGGCAGTCTGCTTCCGATCCATAGGACGCCTACTGTTTTCTCACCAGTGGTGTAGCTTATTGCCATTTTATGCTCTTTGTGATATGAAGCGAGTACAGTTCTGTAGGATATGATGGCTGGTCTCTAGGCCCTGTCCTCATTGACAGAAGGATGTTTCACCGACTTGAAATTTGGAGTGCATATATACTGTTTATGAATGATGCTGATGTGCTTAAGCCGTGATGCTGACAATGACATAACTGTCATATAATTGATGACAGTTATGTTACTGCAAGTGGGTTGAAGTGATATTTTTTTGTCATTGCCAAGATAATCATTGAGGAAATAATGTTAAAGATGCAAGCTGTATATCCTCCTTTTTTCAGTGGGTCTGAATCTTAGTGCTTCATTTTTTAATTGACTGATTTCAGAAAAAGGGCTTACAGGGTTTTGGTATATATATGATATATTATTCACAAATCAGTTTTCAGTTGAAGTAGCTTGTTCTTTGGTTGTGATTCATTTTTTTGAGTTTTTATCTCAAATACTTGTCATTTTGGGCACATAAAGCTGTTGCCCTTTTATATATATATACAGT